AGTAATATGCATGCTAATAAGCAACTAGTTAATAGTGAGAACTGGCCCTCAAAATAAAGTGTTACCATGTATTATATTGGTACATTATTATTCACAGATATTTAGATGTAGTATGCAGTAGAGTATGTAGTCATCACTTACAGTCGGGCAGATATCCTGTACCACTGGGCACCCGTTTCACCAGCAAACTGTGACAGATACAAAACAAGGCCCAGAAAACACTCGATATGTGCAAGTCTTTATAAAAAATATCCACATGTCAGCACACACACACAGTTCCACTGTACTGACTGGCTAAAGAAGGTGACTCCACAAACACAGAGCTCAGGTCTGAACTAGTCTATCAGTCTGTGGACTAACCCAGCTACTTTGATCATCTTTGGGCTGAAGGCTTCAACGTGATCCAGCAGAGTCTTCATGGTCTTTCCAGTGTCCACGATGGCCTGAGGGAAGAAGGATGGCTGAGATGAAGGCTGTCACACACTATCAGCATAAGAAGCCCACATGACAGAATCGAAGTCGTCTTGGCATTGCATGAAATCATCACATCTCAGAGGCGCGAAATAAACACCAGAATGCTGGACTTCACTGTAATGTACTATGTTTTCAACCATAAGATACAAAAAAAATCAATAAGTTTCATTCATTTATGTAATTGCAAAAAGCATTATGTTATGTTATGTTAAGTTATTCAGGACAAAAGTTTGGGCTCAGTAAGCTTTTTTCTTTAATGTTTTTGAAACATCAAAAAAAAATATCTTTAGTCTCTTATGTTCACCAATGCTGCATCTATTTTATTCAAAAATACAGAACAAAACAGTGATATTTCACAATTACTATTATATTACCATTGCTGAAAACAATTGTGCTGCTTAATATTTAATATTCACACGTTCCAGGATTCTTTGATGAATCGAAAGTTCAAAAGAACAGTAACATTGTAAGAGCCTTTACTGTCACTTTTGATCGATTTAATACATCGTTGTTGAATAAAAGTATTATATGTGACCCTGGACCACAACTTTAAAGGCGATTTTCTCAATATTTAAATTTTTTTGCATCCTCAGATTTTCAAATAGTTGTATCTCAGCCAAATATTGTCCTAT